ACAAAGTCAGGATGTTCTTTAAAAAAACCATCTGTGAGGCATGAAAATATATCTTTGTTTTTTGCTCCTCTTTTCTTTAACAAGTAGGCTCAACAAATTCAAATTTGGGATATCAGAAAATACTCAAATTTTAAATTCTAAAACTTACCTTCATCTCTTTGATTAATCTGATATTACTTCAAAAAAGAAGAGAAGAATGGACAAAAGTGTTACCAAATAAAATACCGTAATCCACAAAAACATATTGTTCCCCACAGCCTGAAATGTATAGCATTGTACAGTATAGTACGCACAAAGGGATACTTCAAAAGGTTATCAAGTTCTTTTAAATAAAGTTCTTCAATTGGGTAACCCTCAGGTTTCTATAAAGTCAGAATATGCTGCATAAAATCAAGTGAGGAATGAAAATATGTTTTTTTTGCCTCTCTGTTAAAAAAGAGCAAAAAATTGAAACAAGTGTCAGAAAATGATCAAATTTTATACATTATTGTAAAAGTTTATGTTCATCTCCTTGATCCATCTAATATTACCTCAATACAAAATGCAGAAAAAGCAAAGCATGAACCAAACCTAATACAGTATTGTAACCCACAAAAACATATTGTTCCCAACATGCAGCCTGAAATGTATATAGTACAGTACTTACAAGGTATGCTTCAAAGGTTTTTTCAGTACTTTTGAATAAAGTTCATTAATTGTGTAACCTTCAAGTTTCTATAAAGTCAGAATATGCTCTGTAAAATCAAGTGAGACATATGAAAATGTATATTTGTTTTTGCCTCTCTCTTGTTCAAGAAAGAGCAAAAAATTAAAAAATTCAGGAAATGATCAAATTTTTTGTTGTAAAAGTTATGTTTACTTCCTTGATCCATCTAATACAGTATTACCTCAATAATATATAGTAGAGAAAGGAAAAAGTGTGAATCAAAACTATTTCTGTAATCCACAAGAATATATTGTTCCACACAGCCTGAAAATAATTCACATACAGAGAACATCAATTCAACAAAATATGTATACAGTAATTAAAATGCTGGTGATCTTCAAAATCAGCTCTTGAAACTAAAAGAAGACTCCTTTTGTCTAAAACCCTGAAATATATTTCAACGTTACATTGAAGCATTATATTATTCGTTCAAGAACAGGATACCTTATTTTATACGATTTTTCAGGATAAGCGATGAGAAATTCTTCCGAGTTCAATTGAGAAGACCAGGGGGAAGCTTGATATATAAACACAGCTTCCGGCAACCCGTTGACGTGTTTTGTTTTGAGTTCAGATTTCCTGTTTCAGTGCCAAGGCATTTTGGATGAAAGTACTTCTAGTCCACGTGCTTAATGCATGTGTTGACACATCGTCCAGCAGTCGTGCAGTCTAAACCAGCTGCTTATATATATATATATATATATAATGCTGATTTATATGTTGTGGAAGCTTTGAAATTAGTTTCATGATTCAAACGATTTTTTTAGTTATTGCTTATGTTGAAAATCAAACCCTGAATTGTTTTCTTGAATCAAGTGCATATTTTTATTGCCAGAAATCACAATTTATAATCAGAGCAGCCACATGAGTAATCTATATGAATGCAGTTTGTAAAAAGATTTAGAAAATACATAAATAACTGTCCAGTACAAATTTACATATTTTTTGCAGAAAAAGCTTTGTCTATAGAAATCTACTACCACAAAAAATCATTACTAAACACAATTTTTGATGGTTATGGCTTTTCAAATGAATATTCCAAAACAGAAATTTTATTTTTGAGGGCTTCCTTCATCCAAAACACATCAGTAAATCTTTTATTGCTTTTCTTTTTCCTGTGTCAATAAGAAAATCATAGCCATAAGGCCTCCAAAAATTTGAGTTATGGGGGTTGTTATTGGTGGACTTTCCCCAATAATAATTTGCTGTGAAACGCGCTTGCATTTCTAGAGACGTGCATGCGTTCTCTCAAGAGCTTGCAAAAAGGCAGCAATTGCACACCAGCAAGAAAAAAAGAGAGAAAGACTGAGAAAAGATGAGATAATTATTTAGAATATTATCACATAATATAATAATCATCTCTGGACTCCTTTCAATTCCAAGAACCAATTAATCACTGACAGGCATGCCCCTCCTGACCCATATACGCATGCATGCACGTGTCTAATACTATGTTGAAAGACGTGGCTTTGGAACCCAGGCTTCCTGATATATACATGTGGACCACGTTTCATCAACCTGTCATCCTGCCTTTCTGTTGAACACAGAGATCCTGTGGTGAGAAACACTGAAATGCTATAGTGCAGTACTTGCAAGGGATGCTTCAAAAGTTATTGCAGTACTTTGAAATGAAGTTCTTTGATTGGGTATAAACTTCAAGTTTCTATAAAGTCAGGATGTTCTTTAAAAAAAACCATCTGTGAGGCATGAAAATATATCTTTGTTTTTTGCTCCTCTTTTCTTTAACAAGTAGGCTCAACAAATTCAAATTGGGATATCAGAAAATACTCAAATTTTAAAATCTGAAACTTACCTTCATCTCCTTGATTAATCAGATATTACTTCAAAAAAGAAGTGAAGAATGGACAAAAGTGTTACCAAATAAAATACTGTAATCCACAAAAACATATTGTTCCCCACAGCCTGAAATGCATAGCATTGTACAGTATAGTACGCACAAAGGGATACTTCAAAAGGTTATCAAGTTCTTTTAAATAAAGTTCTTTAATTGGGTAACCCTCAAGTTTCTATATAGTCAGAATATGCTGCATGAAATCAAGTGAGGAATGAAAATATGCTTTTTTTGCCTCTCTGTTAAAAAAAAGAGCAAAAAATTAAAGCAAGTGTCAGAAAATGATCAAATTTTATACATTATTGTAAAAGTTATGTTCATCTCCTTGATCCATCTAATATTACCTCAATACAAAATGCAGAAAAAACAAAGCATGAACCAAACCTAATACAGTATTGTAACCCGCAAAAACATATTGTTCCCAACATGCAGCCTGAAATGTATAGTACAGTACTAACAAGGTATGCTTCAAAGGTTTTTTCAGTACTTTTGAATAAAGTTCTTTAATTGTGTAACCTTCAAGTTTCTATAAAGTCAGAATATGCTCTGTAAAATCAAGTGAGGCCTGAAAATGTATCTTTGTTTTTGCCTCTCTCTTGTTCAACAACGAGCAAAAAATTAAAAAAATTCAGGAAATGATCAAATTTTTTGTTGTAAAAGTTATGTTTACTTCCTTGATCAATCTAATACAGTATTACCTCAATAATATATAGTAGAGGAAGGACAAAGTGTGAATCAAACCTATTTTTGTAATCCACAAGAATATACAGTATTGTTCTACACAGCCTGAAAATAATTACCATACAGAGAACATCAATTCAACAAAATATGTATACAGTAATTAAAATGCTAGTGATCTTCAAAATCAGCTCTTGAAACTAAAAGAAGACTCAATTTGTCTAAAATCCTGAAATACATATATTGCAATGATACATTGAAGCATTCCTCTTTCAAGAACAGGATACCTTATTTTATATGATTTTTTAGGATTAGCGATGAGAAACTCTTCCGAGTTCAATTGAGAAGACCAGGGGGAAGCTTTATATAAACACAGCTTCCGGCAACCCGTTGACGTGTTTTGTTTTGAGTTCAGATTTCCTGTTTCAGTGCCAAGGCATTTTGGATGAAAGTACTTCTAGTCCACGTGCTTAATGCATGTGTTGACACATCGTCCAGCAGTCGTGCAGTCTAAACCAGCTGCATATATATATATATATATATATAATGCTGATTTATATGTTGTGGAAGCTTTGAAATTAGTTTTATGGTTTAAACGATTTTTTTAAAGTTATTGCGTATGTTGAAAATAAAACCCTGAATTGTTTTCTTGAATCAAATGCATCTTTTTACTGCCAGAAATCACAATTTATAATCAGAGCAGCCAAATGAGTAATCTATGTGAATGCAGTTTGTAAAAACATTTAGAAAATACATAAATAACTGTCCAGTACAAATTTACATATTTTTTGCAGAAAAAGCTTTGTCTATAGAAATCTATTTCCACAAATAATCATTAATAAACACAATTTTTTATGGTTATGGCTTTTCAAATAAATATTCCAAAGCAGAAATTTTAGTTTTGAGGGCTTCCTTTTCATCCAAAATACATCAGTAAATCTTTTATTGTTTTTTTCCTGTGTCAAGAAAATCATTTTCAAAAGGCCTCCAAAAATTAGAGTTATGGAGGTTTTTATTGGTGGAATTTCCCCAATAATAATTTGCTGTGAAACACGCTTGCATTTCTAGAGACGCGCATGCATTCTCTTGAGAGCTTGCCAAAAGGCAGCAATTGCACACCAGCAAGAAAGAAAGAGAGAAAGACTAAGAAAGGATGATATAATTATTTAGAATATTATCACATAATATAATAATCATCTCTGGACTCCTTTCAATTCCAAGAACCAATTAATCACTGACAGGCATGCCCCTCCTGACCCATATACGCATGCATGCACGTGTCTAATTGGCAATGAACTTCTGGGATTCCCCTTCCGGTCTCTCCACAAAGCACGTGTACAATCACATGATCATAACTGGGCAGTTTCTAGAACTTTTGGTCTTCCCCTTCCTGGTTTGAGCAGTATATAAACCCTGGTCAAATCCAGGATTATCAGGCAGTTGTGCATTGACTTTGGAAGTGACCCTTCTGATGTAATCCTCTGTGTTTGCTGGTGTCTCTGGATTGTGTTGCTGTGGTGCGTTATTACTCCATAATAATAAAAGACTATTTTTGTATCAAATTACTTGTTGGAATTCCTTATCTATCCTCTCTAAATTAGAGATACACAAATCTTAAAATAATCTGAGATAAAGGTAATATTCTCAGTAATTCCCAATAACGGGATAACAAGGTACAGTATTTGAGATGAGGAAAGTTATAGAGACATATTTTTAATGCATAAACGAATTCAGACATGCAGAGAATTTAAAAAAAATTTGACTCTTGGGAGGATTCAACTGTATATTATTTTGCAAATATTCAAACGTATATCTCCACGTGTCCATCCGGCATGGTGATTTGACAACACTTGTCATTGTAGTTGGCCACGCAACACCCAGCTGCTCTGCACATTGCCCGCAATTCCTTGCAGTCCCCGATGGACGTTTGAACGCCGGCGTATTGGCTCGCCGAGATTTGTATCGGCTCCGCGGAACAACATCCGTTCAGGTTCATCCTGCACAGGTTGCACAAATCCGGGTCCTGGAACCCGGAATGGGAAAAGGTGTCGGCCGAGTTGACGTCCATGAAGACCCTGGGTCCCAATTGTTGACGGGGTTGTCTAATTAATGGCTTATTATTATTATCCTTGGTAATTTCTGGATGAGAGGCTGGTGATGATGATGATGATGATGGTGTTCGCAAAGGAGCTGGAGGAATATGAGACTCCGATGATGCATCTATAAATCCGAAACAATTACTGTATACAGGGTGTGCCAAAAAAGTGAACCGATTTTTTTCACTTAACATCGCACAGAAAAAAATGAAGCTGCAGCAACAACAAAAATCACCAAATTGAAGCATATTGTTTAATTTATTCTCAAACATTATCTGATTTTATGGTCCCAAGGAAGGAAATTGAAAAAAACTTTCATTTGTCTAATTATTAGCTTTCATTCTGATTTGAATGATTGAGATGGTCCAAAGAAAAGAAACTGAACAAGCTTTCATATGGTTTTGTTGTTGTTGTTGCTTGCTTTGCTACTGAGGTATTTTAAGTCAAAATTTTGTGTTTTTTTGTCCAACCTGTATGTGGAAGAAAAAACTATAACATTCTGATCCAAAAATGTGCAAAACAATTTTGCAAAAGCAGTGTAGGATGCATATAAATTATCACACACTGCTTTGGTTCTCTGATGATTCCTGAATAAATGATGAGACCCAATGTATCTTCAAAACATAAGATACAGTACATTATTGGGTTCATGCATATCATAAAGGGATAAAAAAGGCATAAGACTCATCAAAGAAAAATCTTGCATAATTAAATTTTCTGACAAGAAGTAATGCTCACACAGCATTCAAAATTTTTGGGATAAAATAATTTTCTGGACAAAAATGCGCAATGTAATGAAGTGCATATTTGAATTTAATCTTTTTATTGTATTTAATTCTGCATCCCCTTTCCATCTGCTGGTTTTCTTCAAGCCTAAATACACTCTATATGTTTACTCATTCCAGTACTGTATATATAGTCCCTAATATATATATATCTTTAAACTTTACTTGATACTTTTGAAGTATGAAACGCTTGAAAAATTTGCATAATATAAAAATTATTATGCCTCAATTATGCACTTCACTTTTGAGTAATTTTTCAGGGAAAATCTGCCGGTGGATACTAGCTCAATTGAATTTTTTAAAAATACACAACTATAATAAAGAAATTGAGGAATTAATTTCTGGTTGGATTGTGAAACCAATAATTGCCTTGCATAATTTTTATTTAAACAAGCAGAGATTATCACCTCTTCTTGGCCAAATTTAGCTTACCAGCTTTTCATGTTGCATCATCAGTCACAGCTTTAATGGCAAGTTGAGCCAAAATTTCTGTTTATTCTTGAAAGAATCAGCAAAAAACCAGGCCTACTTAGTTTCTCAATATGAAAAATTGAATGTAAAACTGGTTTTATTTTTGTATAGACCACAAGTTCATGTAGCATAATTGACACAAACCTCTGTCAGTACCATTCCCACTGCTGTCATTTGTGACGTGATCCTGGTACTCAGAATTGACTTTGGCTTCCTCCTGGCAAAAATACACTGAAACCCAGCCCATCTTATAAAACCCATTACATAACCAGTGACCTGGATTTCCACTTACAGGGCACAAGGCAGAAAAATAAATGCAACAGCAGCAAAAACTTCATGATGGCCCCTCAACCCCCTGAATGAAGGGTAATTCAGCAGATATCCTGAAACATGAATGCATATTTTTCTATAATTCCAGAATGACTGTACTTGAAAAATTGACAATGAATGAAACTAGTTTTTTACAATGCCAAACCTCCCAACAAATTGATTAGCTTCCATCTCTCTCTTTTTAGCCAGTGTATATAACTGACTCTACTCAGATGGGGAATACATGTAAAAACATACAAAATTGATCTTTCATTTACAAATAAAAGGTAGAACTAAAATATGCCCCTTGAACTCTCTTCAAACAAATATTGTTGCAAAATCATTCATTGTAATATATGTTCAGGGGTCCCAGCTGAAACTCCTCAGGCACAATGATGTAAAAATCTCAGCATGATGAAATTGCTCTCTTCAGTACTGTACAACCAACTACAGTACTTCCTTTTATGGCTTTTCTCACATTGTTTGGGAACAAAATACAGGTGGACTCTTGCTCAAAATAAAATTCAAGGGACCAGCACAAAATTTGTTGACAGTTCTGTTGTATTTTGTAGAGAACCCCTGTAACATGGGTAGAGAGCCTCATTGGACACACAAAAAATTAGTTATACAGAGAAAGTTGTTCTAGAGAGACTAAACCTGTATTTCTTTTTACCAGAGCATTTTGTCACTCTATTCCCATAGGAAATGCGTTATTCTGCTGGTCAATCTTCCCAATTCTGCTGAATTTTTCCAGAGAAAATTAACTCAGGTGAGGTGGAAAGGAATTATGGCAATTTCAACTTTACAAAATAACAGTGAATTTCACAAAAGAATCTAAAAAAAATTGAGTCACAGCAGTTTTTTGGTGCAAGATTTGATCATTATTTTCATGGATGTCCTTCTTACCCTTTATCTCATTCTCTTAGCAAATTACAATCACCAAATCTTTTAATGAAAGCACAATCATCCTACAGCATCCTCAGAGGAAATAATTGGCAAAAAGATAACTTCCCGATTTTTTAGTGCAGTAAAGTCCATCATAAAAGTTTCTTGAAGCGTTATTCAACTGCGATAAAAGTGCTCCAGAAGTTGCGACTAATTTTTCTCATTTGCAAGGGGCCATCCAACACTTTTAGCGTTATACATTTCCAAATTTCAGTTCCTAATACTGTACTTCAGTGGTCACATGAGTGATGCCAATCTTCTTTCACACTGTCCCACAATTCCTCACACAAAATTTCGGAACGAAATGCTCCAGCATCCACAGATCATTCACATATTTCTGATTCTGAATCACGTAAATCAATACAAAAGTATGGGGGGAAAAAATAAAAACCGCCGCAATTTTCGCAGTCCAAAACGATTTTCATTACCCGGTTTTCTTTTCCTTTTCCAACAAGCACGCCGACTTTTGCAGAAAAGTTCTTTTTTCCCCCCAGAACAATTCACGAAACCGTGGGGAGAAAAAAAATAATGAATCCTTCGAACGAACGAATGAACCAACGGCAAGCCCTCCCACCACGCCTGGGAGAAAAAAAATTAAAACCCAATATCTGCACCAAATCAAAATTTCTCTTTTTTCGCGTGCAATAAAATTTCCTCCACGCTAAAACCGAAACAAAATGCCTTCTTTTTCTTGATTTATAGGAACCGACACTTGCGCAGTGGCCGTTCCTCACCGATAGAAACAAAAACGATGGGGAACATCGAATCGTGGACCAAAGCAAACGCTTTCCACGCATTTCTTTTCTTTTTTCTTTTCTCTATCACAGGACCTCGTGAAAGCCGACAACTCAAAACAAACGAAACAACAAAAAAAAAAGAAATCGCTTCATAAATTCACGACACTTCAAAGGAGGTAAGATGAGTCGGGGGCCGCGAGACACAATCGACACTTTTCCGTCTTTCTTCTTCAGTTGTATTGAAACTTGAACTGAAAGGGTTGCCCGTGGAAATGGAAATGTTGGAAGGGGTTGAATTGTTGTCCAGCTTGGGATTCGGGATCCAGGGGATCCTCGCCCATGTCGTACTTTTTCCGCATCTCGGGATCCGTCAGCACTTCCTTCGCCGCCGCAATGTCCATAAACTTCTTCTCCGCCGCCTTTTTCTCGTCCTCGTCGGTGTAATTGTCCGGATGCCACTTTTGCGCCAATTTCCGGTACGCCTTCACAATGTCCTTCTTCGGAGTGTTCTTGTTCACACCGAGGATCTTGTAGTAGTTTCTTTTCCCCGCGGATTTCTTGAGCTTCTGGGCTCGCTGAACGCCTTCCCGCGGTCTGTCGTAGCGTTCATCAAGCTGAGATGCCCTTTGGAAATCCGCGATAGCTGAAAAATTATGAAAACGAAAAATTAAAAACAGAATGAATGAAATAATCTTTTGAAATTAATTCATCAAGTATTCTTCATCAACCCATTGTCACCCTCGCCCTTTTCGGTTGTTACGCGGCTACAATTAACAGCATGATAATGCGTCAGAATAATATAGTCGAGAACCTAATTTCACAGCTTACGAAGGAAAAAATTTAATGCCTAAAGAATTTATTTGAATACAGTATCTCAAAAACGTGATGATAAATAATGCTCCTAAAAAAAACCAGTACAGTACAGGGATAATGGAAAAGTTTCCCAAGATTGCACTCTTTGTCACTAAAACACTTCTGGGAAGAAATTGATTTCAATTGACCAATATTTAATATGTTTTCTATTTTCCGTTTTCTATGCGATTGAAAGCTTTCGTTAATGATCCAAAAAGCGTCTCCCAATTTATTTATATCAATTGGCACGTTATTTCGAAATGAAACTCATGAGAAAATTTATAATATCGTTTCTTTTCAAAACTTGGATGTCCTCGGGGGACAGTTCGGAAAATTGAAGGATTACCGTATATACGCAAATACAGTATAAGCACATCCTAGATTTTTTAAAGCACGAAATTAAAATCCCTCCAATAGGCGAAAATGGAAACCCATTTAATTTTTTGGCATTCCTACTTCCCGGGAACTTAAAATCGTTTTACTAATCATAAGTTTTCCCCAGAAGTGGAAAATGGTGTTAAACGACCCTTGTTTTTACCCTTTAGTAAAAGTCTAACGCATCTTGAATTTGTAAGAGCTGACCAATTCTTGATTATAACTGAAGAAATGAATGTGCTCAATTGTTTCGTGGGCCACATGCAGGAATATTTCCTGATACATAAAAAAATATGCAAAAATATGCGAATATATAAGCACCCCCGCCCCTAGTTTCTGGGCATTTAAAATAGGATAAAAGGGGTAACTTCAGTTACATAATTCAGATACAAAATTTTCTTGAGTGCCACTCACAGCTTTTTTCAACATCTTTCAAGTTCTGGTGCAAGTCATACTTGATTCTCACAGGAAATTTCTGACCCATTTCAAAAACAATTTTTTTTCCAATGGAAACAAAAAATCATTAATCCAATTTATTTTTCAACTCAAGTCAAAATTTTGATACTGACAGGGTTTATTTGAGAAACTTCGTTATTTCTCAACTGCACCCAAGTAACATACCCACTTTCTTTCAAATTTTACCAAGTTTAGGAGCAATAACTCATACTTTACTTCTGGAGGAATTTCTCAGTGACGCGAAAAAAAATTTTCCACGGGAAAATGGAAAATATAGAAAATTAATTCTTTTTCGGGTCCAACTCGAGTCAAAACTTGATTCTGGTCTGTTATATTATCAAAACTTGTCATTTCTTTCAGCAACGAAGCATGGGTTTCGCATCATCCTCGGGGATAGGTTTGTATCCAAATTTCAGGACCAGAAAACCAGGTGCGTGTCTTACTCGAAGACACGTGGCAAGTGAATAAGAGTAGATTTCTAACCTTCGTCGAATTCGTCCAGGGCCAAGTGAGCATCAGCTCTATCACAGTAAAACCTGGGATTCTCTTCGAGACGAATGGCTTCTGAGCAGGCTTTCAATGCTTCCGTAGGTTCGCTGCCTTTGGTAGTGCAGTAACACAGCCTGTCCTGCGCACGCGTCAGAAACCGTTGGTGCGAGGGCTCAGCTTTCTTCACTTTCCGCGCAGCTGCAACGCAATCTTCGTAATGCTCAGCTTCGAATGAGGCCTCCATTTCCTGCACAATTTTCGCCAACTTCTTCACCTTCTTGTAGTGGTCGAAGCACTCCTTGTGATCCGGGTCCAACTTCAGACACTCTCTCACCGCACTGTCGAAATGAGAATACGCAAGTGTCAGTTTAACGATCACTTAGGGACTTGGTTCAGTTTGAGAGCACGCACGTAAAAGAGAAGAGGTAACACTTCAGTCTGATTTTTTCTAACACACTTCAAAAATGGGGTTGTCAATGCTCACTGAATAGTTCAATACCGACACTGAAACACGTCGCCATTATGAACAGAATCTTTCTTCAATTTCAAATTGAGGAATTTTTTGGCGATTTTGTCTAAATATAGATCAATTCACGTACGAGGGGTTCAACAAATGCTCTCGGAATAGCAACTGAGCTGAAAAGCAATCATTGTTCACAAAAAACGTCCTCCGACAACAACAAAAACTAATAAATCAGGCCTTTCTTGACATTTTTCTGAAAATTTTTGCAAGTCACTCTGACTGCATTATGCTTATGAGTCAAACGATGAGGCGCCCACCTTGCAGATTTTCTGGATTACCCCAGCTTTCCCTTCAGAATTCTTGAAATTGACATGGCATTGATTCCAGGGGTTGCCACAATTTATCAATAATAAATTTTGTTTTCATCAACGGTCGCCAGTTGGAATGGAAGTGTGGCGGCTGTCAAAGAAAATGGCAGAATTACCTCGTAAGACTTGGAGGCAACCCTTGGAATTAATGCCATGTCAATTTCCGGGATTCCTAAGGAGAAGCTGGTCTACAAAAAAAATCTGCGAGATGGACGCTTCCTCTTTTCAATGAAGAGCAGAAAACTGCCAAGGTAACTTTTGAAAAAAAAAAAAAAGCGTCGAACAGGGCTGAATTTTCTTTTCCCAGCGCAAGAGATTATTTTTCCTGAAAAACTGTTTTCCAGCTCAATCATACGCCGTTTCAATTTATATCCCGAGAACTTTTGTTGGACCTCTCGTGAATGATTTTCGGATTGAAAATCTCAAATTAGAGCGTGCTTACTTCAATGACTCGTCAGCTTCTCCCATCTCGTAGTGAAGCTTGGAAACTCGAAATTCCCCGGCTGTGTTATCCGGCGTTAGCCTCACAGTCGACTTGAAATCCGAAATCGCGTTCATGTAATCACCCATTCGCAAAAAGCTTTCAGCTCTCATCTCACGCAACTTCACACTCCACGGACATCGCTGCAAAGATCACCGGACATCATTATTCACTAAGATCAATGGAGACACTATTGCTTGAAAAAATCTAACCTCCAATATTCGAGAAAGAATATTCACGGCTTCGGCATAGGCTCCCTCCGAAAACGCCTCTTCTGCGTTATGAATGTCGATCCCAATGGGTTCAATGTCGGCGTAATGCTGGTTGGCTTCTTCGTTACCAGGATCGAACCGAAGCTTGGTAATAAATAATTTTGCTCGATTAGTAAACACAAAAATCGATGACAACGAAGGTTAAAAGAAACTTACGACATTTTCAAAATCAATATGAGCTTCGTCAAGTCTTCCCTGCTTGAGGTAAACATTCCCACGTTGTAAACGCGCCTATGAAATACAAGAGCGAATATGAAACACCGTCTTCCAGTGGAAGGAACTGGAATAAAATCCTCACCGCTACGAAGTCAGGTTTCAGAGAAATCACTTGGTCGAGATCAGGAAGGGCAGCACGGGCTTTCCCAAGAGCAAGAAACGCTGTAGCTCGTCTGAAGTATGTCAAATAATTACTTGGGTCCCCTTCTGCAGTGAATAGTGAAAAAATTTCGGTCAGGAAGTGAATGACAAAACGAAACTTTAAAAAAATTATTCGGACCTATTGCGCGATGAAAATGATCTAAAGCATCTTGAAACTGCCCACGTGCGAGCATCTGTTTTCCCAATTCCAAATGCTTCTCTGCCTCTGAAACTGATGTCGACTGCGTAACTGGAATGAGGTGAGAGAAAATTGAAATTAACAGTACTTCAAAAATCATCTTCTGATATCTCTCACGTTTCACTTCCAACTCGAGTGCGGCAAGAACAAGCCACAAGGAGCAAAGCCCGAGTTGCGGCGGCATGAAGAACCTTTCTACCGCGACCATTTTCCTGTGTTTCTTCACGGGGCTTCAAGACATTACCGTATTCTTCACGGGGTTAAAGCAAATTGCTTCGTTCCTCAATGCACCCACATGTCAAATTTCTCAATATGAACACTGAAAAATATATAGGGGCCATGAAATTATTTCAAAGCCAATTCTGGGAATTTAATCACAGATGAACTCTTCCCGAACACAGGTCAACTTGCGAATGAGCACTTTCCAGCAGCCGATAACGTACGAAATCTTTATAAGCAGTGCCAACACCTCTTGCGTCATAAGTGCGAATCGATAAGGCTCTCGAAGCGTCAGCTGCACGACAGTTACACGTGTTCTAGACACAGACAACATTGCTTCGAGACTTGTTCGTAAATAAAATCAGCAACGACGAGCGAAAAATTGAAGTAAGATGATCCACAATTTATCATAGCCTTGAAAACCTTCTCACTTCGCCCGAACACGGCCAAAATAGTTAAAATCGTGGAACTTTCCCTCGTCCGCCGCGTGGTCGTCTGTGATTGGTAGACGCTTTTGGCGGCAGAAAGCAGGACGCCATGTGTGACTTGAACCCGGTGGTAGAATGATTCAAACTATCAAAGATAAACGCCGGCTGTATCAGAGGGAAACATTTACTATACACCGTGTACAGTACTGTACTCAAAAATACAGTACTCGACGAAATTATCAGAAAGCTCATTTTCAAGGTAACATTGTGCACAACAATTTTTTTCGTGAAAATAAACACATTTGGTTGGAATAAAGCTTTGAAGAGGTCGGCTGATGAAATTGAAATCAAATACACGTTTTTGGAAAGAAAATATTCAAATTGTTTTCCACTTTTTATCATTCAATTCTTTGACATATATATTGTCATTCAAGAGCGATTGGGCGGTTTTTTCATGCAACGAATCCTCAGAAGAACGGAAGATCCCTCCATGACGAATTGCTTCTCATGAACCTTTTGCATAGGAGCAGGATTTCCACGGGACATTCCACTACAGAATCCGCACCTAACAAAAATCACACATCACCTTTACAATTTCACAATTAATGTACAGTACAGTATATACTGTACATACATTTTTAATTTATATATGTATAAGTATATATACTCACGCATGACAGTTGGCCCTGATGAATTCACACTCACCAGAGCCCAACTCCTTCCGCATGCATCCTTGGCCTGTTATTGGCACTGTTGGGTTTGGCAAAGGAGCTTTGCAGCAATTTGGATTCCCAGAGCACAATGCCATGAGGTATTGGTCACAAGGAAGATTCAGAACTGGCATTCCATGTTGATCCATTGGGATCTCATATCCCCCAAGGTACTCCCTTGGGGCAGGTGCTGGAGAGTCCATCACTGGTTCTGGTGGTGGAGGTACCATCATTTGCTGCTCAGACTCTGGGACAAAGATTGAGGGATCCCCAGGACTCTGTCCAGGAAGTTGTAAAGGTTTCATCCTTGTAAAATCATCAGTTCCTGTCAACCTAAAGCCCTTTTGAGGATCCAAAGCAACAGATCCTGGAGGGGGTGGAGTTTGAAGAGCATTTGCAAAGGGGTCAGGGAATTGAGCTGCTTCTAGTTCAGCCTGAGCAAGTGCTGGCTCAATTCCAATGGCTGACAAGTCTTGTCGCATGCTGGGGGCCTTGTTGGAAAAGCTTGCATCCAAGGACAAGTAATGAGGATTGTCATGTAATGGATATGGAGCTATGATCAAAGGTGTTTGTGCAGAAAACTTTGCCTGGAGAACTACTCCTCTAGCTTTGGGATGATGATGAGAAGGTTTTTGTCCCTCCATCTTCAAAAGGACTCCATCTTCACTTTCTGAAAAGACTGTCAATGATTATTTCCAGCAGAAATGGATGGTTCTTATATGTTACCAAGAGCACAGAACATACCAGGATTGTCTCCTGCTAGCTCAAAAACTTTCTGCTGTCCACAGCTCAACCCCAAGAAAACACTGAATAAAAGAATCCACAACATCTTTCCAGTTCTGTGCAACTTTCCCCAATTTTTTTTGGATCTGGATGTGGGTGTATAGGAATGATGCTTGTGCGGGAAAGTTTCTCAGCACCCTTGGGAAAACGTTTTTATCTTAATTGTGTTGAGGCAAGCAAAACATTCTCATCATTATTTCTCACAGAAATCCATATTATGCAGAAGAATACCTGACTTTTTTGAGAAAATAAAACTGAGTCCTTTTTTTTCAGAATTGCCAATGGAAATTTTGCTGTGGATGCTGGTTGAAGACATTTTCCCCTTTCTAAAGGCCCATGCGCTGATGCTCTTTCCTTGGAAAAATGGGAAAGCAAGTAATTCCCTTCCCTGCACCTAAAGAGCAAATGCTGTTTATGAGGATCCTCTGGGGACATGGAAAGGAGATCAGGACACAACCAACACAAGCCAGGGTTGTCACGAACCCCTGCCTGAAATGCGCTGTTGACAACCTTGCATGAGCATGAGACAGTATGGCTACATCCATCAGCTCCCACTTTGGTCAACATTTTTTAGAGATGAGAAAAAAAGGTGTGGGATTGAAAGGGCATTTGTAAGGAGTTGAGATTATGAAATGTATATATTTTGCAGAGAGGTTATATTCACTGAACACTTCCTAAATAATTTGATCCCTGTGTCCCAAGGATGACAGCACTTCTGATAATCAAGTTACAGATATGATCCTCATTATAGCATAAATTACAAAATGAATTCTTTGGAACAGTTAGAAATCAAATGGAAGCATGAAACCCATCCAACACCAATAACAATAAGACTCAAACAAGGGTAACATAAAAATTTCCAAAGTCATGAACAAAATTTAGCAATAAAATCTCATCACTCCTGCAATACTTCCTAAAAAAATTATATCTTTATAACTCATCAGCAGCACATCTACTGTACTTTTTTAATTGAATTATTTTGAAACTAACTTGTCTTGGAAGCATCATTACTGCCAAATGTATGTATATAGGTCTGATTTGAAGAGACTCTAAACTAAACTAAATTATGCTTAGGATGATAAGTTTGAAGTTGTTATATTGAATTGGGTTCAATTTTGGTTGGTTATTTAAGGGAAATATTTTATAGCCAGATTGTTAGAACTGTTCATTAATCATACACATCCTATATATACTAAGGGAAGTTGCTCAATCCCTTGTGAAGAGCATAAAGAAAATAATTGACATCCTGTACATATTTTTTGAATTCTAAGCAGGTCTTTCAAAATGCAGACAGAATTTAATGACAAAAAGGCCTTTTAAATGTTGACTGAGAGAGACTTTCCCCAAAAGTATCCAAGTTGAAGAGAGTTGGGTTGCTTTGGACTTTTGGGAACTGGCCAGCTATAGGTATTAATTGGAAATTCAAATTTTTTTGAAGTTGCATGTCAACTACAATTTAAAGAATATTTGCCTTATTTAAAATAAGATCCAATTGTATTGTTTTTTTTTAGTCCTTATTGCATGGGATATATATATATATATATATATATACCCTGATTTTTGCAGTGGGATCCTTTCCATCAGACGCCTGATGATGCAAGCTGGTGTGGCTGCTGGGCTGAGGACGAGGGGTGTGTGGGCCAGGGCTGCCTGGTGAAGCAGGAGCTTATAGGGAGTGCATGGGATTGATGCCTGGGGGGTGCAAGTGGACGAGAGAAAGAGAGAGAGAGAGAACCTGGGGTCGATACCCAGGGGCGGAAATGCGTGCCCTGCGCTGCGACCCACACAGTCTACCCCCTGTGACTGGCCTCAAAGCTCAGGCTTCCTCTCAACCCACCATTTCCTGTCTGCTCAACGTGTACTAAAAAAAAAAAGTACTGTACTTCTAAAATGAGGCAATCAAGTTTCTACAGTTAGCATTTCAAATCTAAGCATTAATTTGTGGTTATTTGAGGTTATGCTTCAATATTGTGGGGATTCATCCAGTGAAATATATAAATTTTTATACAGTGAAATATTTTTTTATGCATCAGTGATATGTATATTTTGTTCACAACAAAACCGTGATGCCAGCAGTAAACCTCATTTGTCATTATATAGAAAAGTGTGTTACATCTAAACTCATCAGTATTTTATATGTGGCTATTTTAAAGTAAGAATTTGTTGCAACAGATTCTAATATTCCTTCCTCATCGGTATTTTCAGATAATTTTACGCAATAAACAAGAAAAAAATAAATAGAAAAATTTCTGCTGAACTTTCAAAATATATATGCATTTTCCAATTTCTTTCTGTACTTTTGTGATTACAATATTAATTTTTTGATTGAGTATATATGAAATAAAATGGAAATTTTGTTGCTGATGGGTTTCCTTCTTCAGTTATACAGGGATATTTTTTTCTTTTGTAGAATTCAGTGAAAAAAGTCTGTGCTTTTGCTTTTTTTTTATCACAGTGTCTTTTTTTCTCTTTAATTTTATTCATCAGATTAATTTCATAGTCTGTGGTTGTGTGTCTCAGTTGGATAATAAATGTCCTCACTTAATTTGAGAGATGCAAAATTATTTATTATTTGCCATCAGACAAAAAAATGTGAGGAATTAATTTTTTTTTATTGTAGACTGTTATTTCCAACTGATTTCTGTATGCGTGATTTTGATTTAAATTGAGTTAAAAACCTTTTTTTTATTTATTGAGTGACGTGATTTTGATGGGTGGTTATCTTATATTCTTGCTTTCGGATTGAAATCGACCTTTCAGAGCCTCAGTTGTCAGTGGGCAGGAAAATCTGCGTTTTTCGTTTTTCCTTTGTTTGGTTTTCGTCTTGGGTTCGAGGTTTTCGGTTCCCGTAAATTCGGTTCAAGTGGGCACGCGTGAGCTTCAGTTGTTTCTCAGTGTGCGACCACCAAAAAAACAAAAACAAACAAACAAACAAGTATAAAATTCAAAGCGGATTGACAAAAGAAACGGAGGTGAACCAAACACCAGCGACATCTTCAGCAGAGAAAGAGAGAAGTTCTCGAGATCCAGGGGGAGCCACTGATACTTGATTTTCTCCTGCTGAGAAAGTGAAGCGGACATCCATCATCAAAAGTCTTCATCATCATCCTTCACCAAGTAAAAATTGTACCTGAGAAAGGCAGAAAAGGAATCCTGTATCCAATGTTGGAGGGCGCCATGATTGTCAAAGATGATGACTGTGACTATGGTGAGTTCTTTACAGTAATTTAATTTAATTTTTTAAAGTAATTTAAAAAATATTTAATTAATGTTCAAAACAGAAATTTTCTTCAATGTACTCCCCCCCCCAAAAGACTCATCATCACCCTCTGCAATTATAAATGCACCAATTGGTTAATTTTTTTCCTGCATCCATTTCATAATATCTGGGATAGCTAAGAAATGATCATGAGGTGTTTCAGTGTAAGGAAAATGAATGTCCTTCGAACTTGACAAAAAAATCAAGGAAATAATCACACAACTTACAATTATGCCAGCAATGTAAATTGACTCCAGAAAATACAATAAATGTATCTTTGTACTGTACTGGGAAAATTACCAGCATGAAATCATTCAGAAGATAGGAAACATTGAAACTTTAGATTACAGGCGTGATGACTCATAAAAATGCTATAAATGCATTTTTTTCCAGTGACCAGGAAATAACAGAAAAATGTAAAATTACACGGATTTGACATTTTAAATATCAAATCCTCGTAAATAATGTAATTGCAAGTTCCTTTTGAAAGTTGGAAATTTTAAAATGATGCTCATGCAGGGCGAATATCTACTGAAATTCATACTTAACATTACTTTTAACCCGTGATCACCTGAGGAACATCAGAAGTCCCTTTAAACCTCTTATTCCAATACAGTATCTTGTCTTTATTCGGATGCGCATTTTCTGAAATGAAAACAAAAAAGCAATATATGAAAAAAATTTTTTTAGTACCAAAGAGAGACTAAACATAATTATTCTTCATGAAAATTTTAAAAAATAAATCTGAAAAAAAATTATTCTTGGTCAAATGCACACGCATTTGAATGTTTTTTGAGAGCATCCAGAGAAAGATCAACCCTGGAGTGATCAAACACTGGGTTGGTAACAGCGCCCTCCCCCCCCCCTCCTCTTCATTTCCCTTCACAAAGAAACATGCACATGAAAAACCAGGCAGATGGACTGGGGAGATACAACCCCCTCCTCCCCCTACCCCCCCCCCCCTCCTTCCTTCATGGTTGCCTGAAAGAACTGCAGCAGCTGGCAGCAGCAGCAGAAGCAGCAGCAGCCCATTACAGCAAGCAGAGCTGCGCCAGCTCACCCACAGCAGTGATCAATAATAGCCCCCACACCCTCCCCTTTTTCACCCTCCCTTCCCAGCAGCAGCAGCCAGCCAGCCAGCCAAGAGCAACAGAGGACTTGTATAATGTGTAGAGGGAGGGAGGGTGGAGTGAATGAGAGGGGGGAGTTTGTTCCTTGTCCAGTGCTTATTTCATTTTTTTTTGTGCTGGTGGGGGTTTCATTGGGAAAGAGGGGGGGGGACTGTTTCATTTCCTCACCCTCTGATGGAAGAGGGAGGATTATGAAATCCCCCTCATGCACACAAAACACTGCTTCAATCAATGAGAATAACTGCCCTGGTTTCCTCAGCTATTTTTGAATGACTGAGTTCTGAACATATGGAAAGGTTTGCTGAAAGTCATGCTCCCACTTTGCTCTTCACCTTTACACTATACATAAGTTAAAGAGCTCCAGCATCTGATAGACATTGAACTCATGTTTATATTTTTTCATGAGTGGCTGAGAAAAGTATGTCCACAAGTCTGTAGTAAAATAAGAGTGTGCATGACTGCTTCAGTAGTAACCATATAGATTCTTCAAGTTAGTGAATAATTATTTATTTGCTCCAATCTAGTTTGGGCTGGTTGCTTGAGTACATATATATCTTTAATACAAATTCAGACACTCATATGAATAAGACCTGCAGTAAAGATTTACTTTCATTTGGATTTTGTTTCATTTAAAGTTCAAAAAAAACTTTTGAAACTCAAAGAAAATTAATGCTCTATTATGTGTTACTGACAGGATTTTAAATCTTCCAAACACACCCAAGACATAATTAAAGAAGTATTTCAAGCTATGGTGAAATCTAAATCAACCTGGCATTTTAATATCAGGAATTAATTTGAATCCAATTTTGAACATATGTATGCATCACAGTAAAATTCTGCTTCATATGTAATTTCAGTAAAACGGAAGTTGAAAACATTTTCAATTCAAAATACCTGTAACTAGAGGGACCTAATAAAATGCAGTCCTCCAAAAGAACATGTTCTAACTGTAGTTTGTTTTATTGAGGGGATTTTACTGTGCAGCTTTTTCAAATTGGTCTCAACATAAAATACTATAAACCTGAACACCATTCTCTCTATCAAGGCTTGAGCTTGGGAAGATGCTGTGATTGAATCCAATACCAAAAAATTAATAATTTTTAATGAATCATTGTTTATAAATGGTGTTGTGGATTACTTTCCAGATTCCTTGAATGGGCTACAAGATTTAGGCCCATTGCACCAACAGCAGCAGTCTCCTGACCAGATGGATGCCAGATCAGGGTCTCCAGGACCCATTGCCAACTCACCAACTGCCTCCATGAACTCTGGCAGTGGTGAGGAGAGCAAGACCAATCTGATAGTCAACTACTTGCCTCAGAACATGAATCAAGAGACCATCAGGGCCCTTTTCTCTCAAATTGGTGAAGTTGAGAGCTGTAAACTCATCAGGGATAGGTCACCTGGTTCTGAGTCCCATGGTGAGGAACATCTCATTATATACACCATTTTTTGAAAAAAGTTTTTGTTAATCTGAAATGCTTTTCAAGAGGTATAACTAACTCAAATATCACCATAATCTTACATATTGAAGAAGGCAATTAAACAAAACTTGTGTTTGAGCCAATATTCAGTTTTTCAGCATATTTAGTTTCTTTAAATCTGCATTGCAGTCTGAAAAAAATACAGATTTTGAAAACCGGCTTTGAACATATTATATTTTTTAAGAAAATCGATTTAATGTCACTGGCAAAAAGATCATCCTTTTCTGATTAAACTTTTCACAGACCTTCAATATGGTCTTCAATGTCCAAATGTAGTGACTATATACAGGCTTTCTTTGTCTCACCTGTAAAAAAAATGAAAAATGTTGAAAGATTTTCAATAAACAATAAGAATTGTGACCAGTTATTAACAATGAACTTTTATTTTGTACAGGACAAAGTCTGGGATATGGATTTGTGAACTTCCATAGGGCTGAAGATGCTGAAAAGGCCATCAACCAGTTGAATGGAGTGAGGATCCAGAATAAGATCATCAAGGTTGGTCTATGTTCAATTTATTCAGTAGAAAAAAATTCTTCCTTCATTATAATTTTGATCAATGAATTTGATGATGCCACAAATATACTAGAAGCTCAATCAATTAAGTATATATCATTACACATGCAGACTCAAGCGTGCAGTAAATAACCTTTTTTATCTTTGTGCATATTATTCAAATAATTAAAATTATTCTATCTGTTTCAGTGCATGGTACTCTAATTTCAGTTCCAGTGTGTGACAATATATAGGGCATGGCAATGATACTTTTAGAGTTGAGGATCATTTTGAAAATAATAAAATACTGTATATTGAAGACTTGAATTTTTAAAACTCATGCTGTTTTACTTTTAACATGGATGGAAATCAGATTTCCTTTCCATGAGTTTCAATTCTCCCCTTTAAAATTTTCAAGCCAATCACTGCACAAATGCATTACCTTAAATTTTGAATATTTCAGAAGAGTGCCAAGAAAAGATTCGTGTTTTGATAAAATTATTCAGAAAATCCAACGTAAGTTCTGACGCTTTTCTATAGGAAACCGAAGTTTCCAATAATTTTGCGTTTTCTAAGATTGCTGAAAGTTTGCGCAGAAGACATTCTTTTACACTTTGGTACGGAGGAAGGTTCTTATGGTTTCAAGATACGGAATTCCTTGGAATGTTCGCGTGGAATAAATTGGCAAGTACTGTATATTAGCGGTACAAATTATTCTTCGTAACTTCAATGAATCTTCAGTTTTCTGGCTCATAAAATGAATCGTAAATCCCCCTGGAGTTTTCAGAATGCAATTTTAATGGACTAATTGATTACAGGTGTCTTATGCAAGGCCCAGCAGCGAAACGATCAAAGGAGCAAATCTTTACGTTAGTGGAATGCCAAAATCGTGGACACAAACCGAACTCGAGTCCCTGTTCGCCCCCTACGGCAAAATCATCACTTCGCGGATCTTGTGCGACAACTTGACCGGTGAGTCGCAAACCCATGCTTTCCACGTTTACTATCTTAATCAAGAGATGTCGCTCGCTTGCTCACGAAAACAAAAAAAAAACACCTCAGGCCTCTCCAAGGGAGTCGGTTTCCTGCGCTTCGACCAACGTTGCGAGGCTGAGCTGGCTATCCAGAAGCTACACGGCACTATCCCCGACGGTTTCGCAGAGCCCGTGACCGTGAAATTCGCCAACAACCCGAGCAACAACCCGAAGGCGGCCCTGCCGCTGGCGGCGTACCTGCCGCCTCAGATGCGCAGGTTCCCCGGCCCGATTCACCACGCGGCGTCCACTGCTGCGAACCGGTTTCGGTACATTCCTTTGTCTCCGCTGGCGACGTGAGTGACGCGAGAACAACCACATCCCCTGTCCCTGTCCCGTTGTTTAAAAAAAAAAAAAAAAAGAAGAGAAAAATCGAGGTGCCCCTCGAATAGCATAGAGGGAGCCAGCAGCGTGTTATCAAGATCAGCGCCCTCTTTGTTTATCTCTGCTGGATGAGTACTTGTGTGCAAGGAGCAACGGCCCTCCTACTAATATCATTGCTCTTTAAGTTCTACAGGTGGACTCTCTCTATACACTATACCATATATATACACTATACTATATAGTCTCTATACTATATCTTGTCTACAATAATTCTCTCTGTTATTGGTCCCATACTCTCATGTGATTCATTCTTCATGTTATAGAGTTTTTTTTACAAGGAAATTCTCTCTAAAACTAATTTCTTCAGGGCCCTTGAATTTTCTTGAAGAGAGAGTTCACCTGTATTCAGTTCAGAAACTAAAGATGGAATCTCCCTAGAAGGCCTAGAGTCATCTTGTCTACAAGGGTTCAATAATTTTCTCTGTACTATATATAAACATTTTCTATGGTCCCAGAGGTGGGTTCTTTGCCCAGCATGTCATAGAGGTTATCTTCAATGAAATTCTCTCTAAAGCAATTTTTTCCAGTCCCTTGAATTTTGTTGTAAGGAGATTCCACCTGCACATATTTTTCAGTGACTTCTGAAGTGCAGTTCTTCAGAATGTACATGTAAATGCTTTGAGAACATTCAATTGAGACACATTATTGTATTTCAAAGTATTGTACAGTACAGTGAAATCAGCATTGATTCTTTTTGCCCAAACTTTTCTTTGTCACTTGAATCATTTCATTTACAAACAGTGTCCAATGAAAACAATTGATTGTTGCAGCTTAGATTTTTTAAAGTGTTGAACTCTATTGATAATTTACTTCATTTGAAATGTAGAACATGTTATGAGGCACTGCAATAGCAGGTTACAACAGTAATGAAAAGATTGGAGGAAAACGTTTTTGGAAAATATTCAGCCATTTTATGTTGAAGATGAATTACTGTGTAATTACAAGTACCCAAAATATTTGGTGGTAACATATAGGGCGCATATTTTATCCATATATTAGATGGTCAAGTGGACTGATTATCATTCATAATTTTGCTGAAGATCTTTCAGACAAGTCTTCTATGCATGTGCTTTCAAATCCAAAAAAAAGGTCAAGATTCTTGGTCAGGGGAACACTATTTGTATCAGTCAAGGAAAGATGACCATAACATAGCAATGTAATCATCCTTGAGGAAAGTGGTTTTGATGCTTACATGTTTGGTTAAGGAGAGATGCAGATTGTTGGAGTCATACTGCAAAATTTTGACCTAATTTGTACATTATCAAAATTAAAACATAAATTCAGAAGCCATATTGGAAAGTCATGCAATATCACTGATACTTGTTCTGTAAAACATTTCCTTGTACATGAAGTTTTTTGCCTCTACTCTACAGTAATTGTTTGAAGTCCACAGCAGAAAAGATGAGAATCTATAAACCACATTTTTTTAATATTAAAAAAACTAACAAAGGGAATGTATAGTCAACAATTGACGAATGCTCCTTGCACACACAAAAAAAAAAAAATCCCCCAAAAAATGTCCCAGTCCATTTTCGACCCCAAAGCAGCAGCAAATTTTTACAAAGCCTGAAATAGGGGAAATAGTTTGTTCATTTTGTCATACTATAGTTACAAATATAGAAACCGTGTTCTTCAGTTCTAAAAAGAAGATATTTTCTGGATATCTCTCTGTTTTTTTTTCAACTTTGATCCTGAGCTGATTAATTTATTTTTTGCTGCTTCGGGTTCGTTTCCGTTTGAATTCGTTTTTTCTTATGACTTCAGAGCTTATTTCTTCTGAAGAAATCGGTGTGCCTGAGTCCCGTATGCATTGAGTTTGTTGGCAGTCTTGTGTTTTTGTTTCCCTTGTTGGTGGTGCTGATTCTTAGTTGTGGCAGAGCCTTGGGCAATGTCAGGTTAGTAACATCTCAACAAAAGATCGAGTCTTCTAGACGTAGCAATTATTTTTTTTTTCTATTAATTTCCATGCCTTTCCGTGTGTTTCACTCTGAAGCCTCGTCGCAAATCCGCCCCAGCCGCTAGATGTCGCTGCATGGTTATACCGGCAGCGACATCTACGTTTGGTTATCTAAAAGCATCATCGCTAATAAAAAAACATGTTTATGCACATAAAATCTTGAATTATTAAACGCTGAAATCTAAAAGATATTTTCCGAATCAAGAAGGTTACCTGAAGATTTTTGATAAATTCTAACAAATTATCTTTAATAAATTTTATCAACTGAAATATCCACAAAATATTTAACATAAAAATATTCTTTGGGGATGTGAAAAATTTCTATAAATTTTGTACACAAATTCTGAAAAAAGAACTGGAACATTGTTCACCCACCTACACTGAAGTTATAAATGTGAATATATTTTTTTTTAATAGTTTAGCTAATTTCAATCAAGTTGATGGCCCAATTAATTGAATAACTTTTCTTTGCATGGTTACAATCAAGAGTATCAGGACTAATACACTAACTGTATATCCAAAAATTATTTCACATTAAAATTTTTTTTATATCTTTGATACATTTTTCAAATGTTATAAGATATTTCTGAAAGGAAAGGAGCTGGAATAGTGTTAACACTCAAGATTGCATCTGTATAAAGAAAATGTCAAATTGTTTTCATGAAATTACGCACACTTCATGTGAAGTTATCAATGTCAATTTTTTCTCCTGGTGGTTTAAATAATGTTTATCAAGTTGATAACACAATCAAATGAGCAGCTTTTGATGAAACTTTTTTTCATGAAATTGATGAAGGCTTCAGGGTTTTGCAAACGGAGGCTGGTAAAATGCATTTGGTTACAATTTTTTCACCAAGAAATTCGAAGAACCCGAGTTTTTATAAATTTTTTCTGCTCTCCACGCAAAAAAAAAAAAAAAACAGCGCACCACTAGGAGGGGATATTTTGTCAGCAGCAGCAGCCGCAGCAGCAGCGACATCTAACCCACTTCTGGGCAGCAACGCGGGCATGAACAACGGCTGGGTGATCTTCGTGTACAACTTGGCCCCGGAAACCGAGGACAATATCCTGTGGCAACTCTTTGGCCCCTTTGGAGCTGTGCAGAATGTCAAGATCGTCAGGGATTTGCAGACAAATAAGTGCAAAGGTTTTGGATTCGTCACCATGCTGAACTATGATGAAGCCCTGCTGGCCATACAAACCCTGAATGGCTACACTCTGGGCAACAGGGTTCTGCAGGTGTCCTTCAAGACCAACAAGAAGCAAGGAGCCCCTGGGGCTCCTTAAGAAAGAAAAAAAGCATGAAAAGAAAGGAAGATACCCATACTCAAGGGTGCTCTATATGCGCAAAATTAACATTTTGTTGCCTCCTCCTCTTCTTCTTCTAAAAAAAAAAACTATGATTTCCTACCTTCCCTTTATGTCTGTGTGCTTTACATGTGGCACAACAATCACCTTTTGCATGTCCTTTGAGGGAAAAACAATTACCAACTTCAGGACAATCAAACTGAAAGAAGAATAATATTTCTATGTGGTTCTTGACTGGTGTAGAAAATTTGGGGGAAAGACTGCCTGGGAAGGTATAATTTATAAATCCTTTCCAAATTGTAATTATAGACTGGATTTAAGATCAGGCCAGTTGAATTTCAATCAACAATATAATATAGATCATTGTTACCCAACCTTGTTTGCCCCCATCAGACTGGCAAATTTGCAAAAAATATTTGGCAGACCTGCAAAGCATCATAAAATGTTTGCAGACTCAAAAAAGTTTTTTTGCAAGACTTTATGGCAGTTATTTAAAATGTTTCTGCATGTTTGCAAAAACAAAGTGAATACAAATGAAGCTGCTATATTGGAATGTCCTCAAAAATTTAGGAAGGTGGGCTTGAAGAAAGTTTTCCCCTAAAAAAAAATACAAAAATAATTGATTCCAGCAGTGGAAATTTTGTCTGAAGTTTTATTTGGAGGAAAGCCAACTTTTATTTTTCATCACATAATTTCAAATGCCATTGTCTTTCTGAAATGTATGTTAAACATAATAGACTTCATTGCTACTTTTGATAAATGTATCATGCTGAAACAAATTTCCTGTGGACTTTCAAAAAACCTCTGCAGACCATGGATTGGGGAAACACTGATATAGATAGTACTGTATTGTGAGGATGTGAAACCTGGAGTTGCTGGGATCACATATGACATCTGACTACTAAGCAGCCATATTAGATACATCAGATTAATTGAAAGAAATATGAGACAAAAGACTTATGAAGCAGGGGACCAATTAATTTTGGGCTGGGACAGTTGAACAGCTTCTTCTTGACATATTACACCATTTGCTCATGAATAATACTGTCATTTTGCAGAATGGGACAAGTGCAGAAAAGGGATTGTGTAGCCACATGTAGTGTGAATTTTTCTGGGGAAGATACAAACCCAGTCATTGTGGTATTTCTTTACTTTCAATGTGTTGAAAACACATCACAAAAAAATGGGATTATGATGGGAGAGCTGGAAGATGAAAATATGATCGTGAATTGCAGTGCCATCTGGAAAAAAAATACATGACCAAGAGGGGGGTTTCAGAGCTTTGCATGAACCCCCTTTCTCAAGTCACTCTTTCTTCTCCCCTGCTTTCGAAATTTCTATATAGATGTCTGAGTTGTTGTTTGCTTCTTGGTGTTTGTGTTCAGGTGCTGTGGGTATATACATTTCTCTGCTTTCTGTTCTTTCATGGGTGGAAGACAATAAACAAAATGCATGTCTAGAAACTCTTTGAATCTCCTGTAGAACTTTTTTTCTAATTCTTCCATCTTTTTTCACCCCCTGTGATCAAAAAAAAAAAAGACAAAGAAAGAAAAAGGGGGAAATGTTTGGGAGTATATATACAGAAAAAAAGAAAAGAAATGATGTTGATCAAGATGATCTCAAACTGATCAAGTGCAATAGGAAGATCTCTAATTGAACAGGAAAAGGCGAGTTTGGGGAGGGCTTTTTTGAGTGAATGGATCTCGATTTTATGCCATTGATTTGAGTCACTTTTAATCAGTGAAGAAATGAGTCTAGTCCTGAGTGTGTTGAGTGATGAGAAGGATGCGTTTTTTCGGTTCTTCCTCAGTCTCTTCTCTCTCTCTTTCCCACTTTTTTTCTTTTCTCCAATTTCCCACTAAAATAATCAAATAAATAAAATTATAATAAATATATTTAGTACAGTAATTCTCCTGAACTATATGCCTCAACATCAAGTTGCTTTAAAAAGCCTTTGTATATCTTAGTGCTGAGTCAAAAATGAAATGAAATACTGCAGTTTTTTTGTGTCATTTCCATCCATTTTCTCCAAAAGGCAGCAAAAAGTTTTAAAATCAGTTGTTTGCCTTGAACCTTGCCTTTTTTTTAAGGCACATTAATGCACTAATGTTTTTAAAATTTTAAATGTATGCTTATCACTCCCAATTTTCTCTCACAAGGCAACAAAAAGTTTTAAAATCAGTTTTTTGCCTTGAAAATTGATTTTGCCTTTTTTAAAGGCACAATAATGCACTATTGTTTTTAAAATTTTAAATTTATGCTAATCACTCCCATTTTCTCTTGAAAAATGCCTAATTTGAAATTGGGGACTTATGACAGTAACTCAATGACACATGGCTTAATTGAGTAACTTGACATTCAAAGGTTTGTTGGATGGATTTAGTGTCAGAAAATTGTCCTGAATCAAATATTTGAAAACAGCTGGAGATTAAAAAAAAAAAAGTGGGAAAAAGGGTGAAAGAAGGTGACTGAAAGGAAAGGACCGAGTTTTTTCTCAATTATTCCACGGGATTCAGTGGCATTCAGCGATGTTTTTGATGTTTTCGGCTTTTGATCACACGTACGTGCATTCAGTATATTCGAATCATTTTTAATCACGAATTTAGTCGCTTTGTTGTAAAATCGTAGCACGAGTTGGACTTGTTGCTTGTAGCCATTTTTTCTCGTCCTGTGGGGGTGGGGGTCAAAAATTCGGGATCTGCTGACGGTGGGGTCGAAAACGACAGAGAGAGAGAAAAAAAACCTTGGGGGGCAGCTTTAAGAAAGAAAAAAAAAATGAAAGAGAGAAAGAGAAAAAAAAACTGTTTTTTCAATACTCGGATTCAATCCTGGCACACGGAAACTTTCGGAGCTTCCTGGCAACACTGGGTGTCGTGGTTTGAGGGGAGACAAGCTTGTTTCGGGGGTGGGTTTAGGATTTTTCGCCTGCGGGTGGGGTTTTGGGGGTTTAAAAAAAAAAGAAAAACGGAGTAGGACAGGGAAACTCTGGTGGGCAACGAGCTTTCATAAGGACTGTAGGGATTTAAAATATTAAAAAAGAAGAAGAAGATCCGGGTTTTAATTGAGGGGGGGGGGAGTCAAAAATGGAATCGTCACGGTTTTGTACGTATTTTTCAGCGCTGGCGTGACGAGAAAAAGAAGAAGAAAAAATTTAATTCGGGATGAAACATTTCTTGAATTCTTTCCGCGATTTCTTGAAGAAGAAGAACTCGTTCCTGATCTCGTCCTTCATCTAACAACTCTTCTTTGTTCATTCTGGCTTCTTTTTCTCCGATATTGAAAAAAAAAGCATGTGGATGATACAATTGTGTTGACTGATCTTTTAAATTTATTTGTTGTTTTTATGCATGCGGATGATTCCCTCTCGGAGGAAAAATACAAGCGTCTCTTTTTTCTATTCCCAAACAGAATGTTGTTTTCATTCTTATTGGCTTGTCCATCGAATGTCTAATCTGCACGAAATAATTTAAAATCCAAATTCTTCTGAGATATAAACCAGCATAAATTTGTCTGCATACACTGTAACAAAACATTATGTGCTGATGAAGATTTATTTTTTTACAGTGAAATCTCAGTACAAGAACTGCCATGAGCAGGAACCTGACAAAAACTTCGCAATATATAAAATTTCATGGTTTTAAAATAATGCAGGGGTTTCATTTTGCGAAAAATTGGGTGGAAAATGTTGTAAATTGCTTCTGCGCCACATTTATTGAGGACTTATCAATATTTTTAGCTTTTTTTTCTTAAAATCAAGTGGAAATTTTCAAATAAACTGATCCTATTTTGAACTTGTCTTGCTTCAAATTTCCAATTTCAGTCTTATTTAAGTACTGTATTATATTATATGCAGTATAACAACAAGTTCTTGTTGATACAAAAAAAACTACAGTATGCATTTCTAATGAATTTTCACAAAAGCTTTTTGTTTACAGAAATGTTTAGCAAATTTTTTAAATGATGAATTATTATTATTCTTTTTTTTTTGGTCCAGCAGCTTATAGCCAAAATATTAACAAGAAAAAGTTTGAGGGTACATTTTTGTTCAAAATCCCCACAGTTTAGCCACAATAATATTGTTTGCTAAATTTTTCAAATTTTTGAATGACGATACTGTACAAATCTTTTCCTAGTCCCAGCAATGGGTTTTTGTTCATTTGGTGTGAGCTTCTGCTAAGAAATAAAAGTGAAACAGGCACTTGAGTTTTTCACTTATTTGATAAAAACTGATGCTTTATTGATATCCTCTGCAACTTTCAAATACAATGACAACAAAGCATTGAAGAATGCGCATTTTTGCTACGTCATTGACTAGGAAAGAGTAAAAAAACAGCTTGATCTAGGATCAAAACCTGAAACAAAATAACCTAGTTTTCGACGATGATGCAAGATGTCGCTCGCAATTTTTCGAAAGTTCCTCTTTCTTGTTGATCCACCAGCAACTTTTTGTTCATTTATGCCTGACTTAACTGGAACTTCAAATTGACAAGATATTGATCATACTCTAAGCACCTCCTGCTTTTGTATTTCATAAAATTTGGTGCGCAATTTCATCTGAAAACCTCATTTTATTCATTGCAATTTCACAATACTATATACAGTACCACTGAAGCCTTTGGACTAAATACCTCAGCGCATACATTAAAACTTCGTAATTGACCATTAGAAGTACGGGAATACGCAAAATCAAGAAAGTCAGCAACACTCATGGGCCTTTTATCCTCAAAATGCTACATGCCTTGATTGAGTTCTGCCCAGGCTTGGAACTTTTCCTCTTATAAGTCTTATACTCAGCTTAATGAAGGGATAACTTCATTGCTAACAAGGTGGGATTCCTTTATATACTGTACAGTATATAAAAAAAAGACAAAATCAATATAAAATAAGAATATAGAAAAGCCAAGTTCTCAGCCAGAGGTGTGATTTTTCCCAGGAGATGAGATTGAATGGGCCCTGAGAAGAACCCCCAAGTGACATCCAGCAGAATCATGGTTGAGAAAACCTCACTGCTGAGGGTTCTGTCTCTGCAAAAAATTGAAGAAGAGCCATTTGAATAAATAATGAAAAGGTTACCAAACGAAAGTAAGCCTCTGCCTATAATGAACAAATTTGAAGGTGGAAACATACCTGGATCATCAGCAGGGTGAGATTGAGAACTGGGAACTTGGATGAATCTCCTGCAGTTACAGCAGATTTTTTGAATACCTGATTGCAGTCTTGATGCAAAATTGATGAGAGTCGCATTCATTCCTCCATAGAGGAAAGGATGCACTGCACAATTGGAATATGCAAGCAGATACGCCACATAGGACACACTTTCATACCATGGCTTCAGCTGGAAAAGAAAAATTCATTGTAAATTCCAGTATTGAAAACTCTGCTGATTTGAAAAATCCTTGATTATGAAAAAATGTCAAAGGTCCAGGCAGAAAATGGCATTGGCGTATTGCTACACAAATCTAGGTACAAAAAAGTTTTTAGATCATTAAACCATATGACGTTCTTCCACTTTTCCCTATATGAAGATTAGAATTTATGTGCAATTGTCTCACCATTCAAGTATTAATGGAGAAAATACGAATAAATAATTAATATTATTTTAATGGAACAATAAGTATAAGTAGTTACTTCAATGAAAGAATCATATAAATAATATTTTCAATTCAAAATATTCCACTGCTTGATAATTTTCTTTAAACTTGCTAGGAAAAAACTTGCATTTTAAACTTTTAATTATTACTTTCAGAATTCAAGCACAGAAATTTTCCAGCTGTCTTCTCATATGATGCATTTTCTATTTCANGTCAAAAATGGAATCGTCACGGTTTTGTACGTATTTTTCAGCGCTGGCGTGACGAGAAAAAGAAGAAGAAAAAATTTAATTCGGGATGAAACATTTCTTGAATTCTTTCCGCGATTTCTTGAAGAAGAAGAACTCGTTCCTGATCTCGTCCTTCATCTAACAACTCTTCTTTGTTCATTCTGGCTTCTTTTTTTCCGATATTGGAAAAAAGAGCATGTGGATGATGCAATTGTGTTGACTGATCTTTTAAATTTATTTGTTGTTTTTATGCATGCGGATGATTCCCTCTCGGAGGAAAAATACAAGCGTCTCTTTTTTCTATTCCCAAACATAATGTTGTTTTCATTCTTATTGGCTTGTCCATCGAATATCTAATCTGCAGGAAATAATTTAAAATCCAAATTCTTCTGAGATATAAACCAGCATAAATTTGTCTGCATACACTGTAGCAAAACATTGTGTGCTGATGAAGATTTATTTTTTTACAGTGAAATCTCAGTACAAGAACTACCATCAGCAGGAACCTGACAAAAACTTCGCTATATATCGACTTTCATGGGTTTAAAATAATTTAGGGGTTACATTTTGCGTAAATTGGGTGGCAAATATCGTAAATTTCTTCTGCGCCATATTTTTTGAGGACTTATCAATACTTTTAGCTTTTTTTCTTAAAATCAAGTGGAAATTTTCAAATAAACTGATCCTATTTTGAACTTGTCTTGCTTCAAATTTCAAATTTCAGTCTTATTTAAAAACTGTATTATATTATATGCAGTATAACAAAAAGTTCTTGTTGATAAAAAAACTACAGTATGCTTTTCTAACGAAGTTGCCCAAAAATTGTTTGTTTAGAGAAATGTTTAGCAAATGTTTTTAATGATGAATTATTATTATTCTTTGTTTTTAGGTTCAGAAGTTTATAGCCAAAATATCAACAAGAAAAAGTTTGAGGGTAAATTTTTGTTCAACATCCCAGCAGTAGCCAAAATATTATTGTTGGCTAAATTTGTCAATGTTTTGAATGACGATACTGTACAAATCTTTTCCTAGTCCCAGCAATGGGTTCTTTGCTCTTTTTTGTTCGTTTGCTGTGAGCTTCTGCTAAGAGATAAAAATGAAACAGGCACTTGTGTTTTTCACCTTATTGGTAAAAACAAATTGATGCTTTATTAAGATCCTCTGCAACTTTCAAATACAATGACAACAAAGCATTGAAGAATGCGCATTTTTGCTACGTCATTGACTAGGAAAGAGTAAAAAAAACAGCTTGATCTATGATCAAAGCCTGAAACAAAATAATCTAGTTTTAGACCATGATGCAAGATGTCGCTCGCAATTTTTCGAAAGTTCATCTCTCTTGTTGATCCATCAGCAACTTATTGTTCATTTATGCCTGACTTAACTGGAACTTCAAATTGACAAGATATTGATCATACTCTAAGCACCTCCTGCTTTTGTATTTCATAAAATTTGGTGCGCAATTTCATCTGAAAATCTCATTTTATTCATCGAAATTTCACAATACTGTACTATATACAGTACCACTGAAGCCTTTGGACTAAATACCTCAGCGCATACATTAAAACTTCGTAATTGACCATTAGAAGTACGGGAATACGCAAAATCAAGAAAGTCAGCAACACTCATGGGCCTTTTATCCTGAAAATGCTACATTCCTTGATTGAGTTCTGCCCAGGCTTGGAACTTTTCCTCTTACAAGTCTTATACTCAGCTTAATGAAGGGATAACTTCATTGCTAACAAGGTGGGATTCCTTTATATACTGTACAGTATATAAAAAAAGACAAAATCAATATAAAATAAGAATATAGAAAAGCCAAGTTCTCAGCCAGAGGTGTGATTTTCCCAGGAGATGAGATTGAATGGGCCCTGAGAAGAACCCCCAAGTGACATCCAGCAGAATCATGGTTGAGAAAACCTCACTGCTGAGGGTTCTGTCTCTGCAAAAAATTGAAGAAGAGCCATTTGAATAAATAATGAAAAGGTTACCAAACGAAAGTAAGCCTCTGCCTATAATGAACAAATTTGAAGGTGGAAACATACCTGGATCATCAGCAGGGTGAGATTGAGAACTGGGAACTTGGATGAATCTCCTGCAGTTACAGCAGATTTTTTGAATACCTGATTGCAGTCTTGATGCAAAATTGATGAGAGTCGCATTCATTCCTCCATAGAGGAAAGGATGCACTGCACAATTGGAATATGCAAGCAGATACGCCACATAGGACACACTTTCATACCATGGCTTCAGCTGGAAAAGAAAAATTCATTGTAAATTCCAGTATTGAAAACTCTGCTGATTTGAAAAATCCTTGATTATGAAAAAATGTCAAAGGTCCAGGCAGAAAATGGCATTGGCGTATTGCTACACAAATCTAGGTACAAAAAAGTTTTTAGATCATTAAACCATATGACGTTCTTCCACTTTTCCCTATATGAAGATTAGAATTTATGTGCAATTGTCTCACCATTCAAGTATTAATGGAGAAAATACGAATAAATAATTAATATTATTTTAATGGAACAATAAGTATAAGTAGTTACTTCAATGAAAGAATCATATAAATAATATTTTCAATTCAAAATA